AAATGACACAAATTGAAAGATGACCCGTCTGTCTGATGAGTGTCACAGTTTTATTATCTTAGCAATTGTAAGAATCATTCAGAATTTAGGTGGAATAGTGTTAAAACTGGGTTTATTTAAATCCCTAAAAAAAATAAAATTGGGGTTGCAGCTTAAGAAACTTTTACACATTTTTATATTTTTAAAATAGCAGAGGGCGTTATGGTAGTCAATAAAGAAAAGGAGAAGCGTGAAGGTAGAGCGCCTTCTAAGACGTATTAGAAGCGTAACCGCATATGGCGACCAGCCGCCATAACTTTAATTGAACGCATCGTTTATTTGCATACCTAGTGTAATTAACTAATAAACTAATTATATTTGTACTTTTAAATATTATTTAACATGTTAAGTTCACTTACTACTTGTACCTACAGCTAACCTAATTAACTACAAAAACTCCGATTGTTGAAAAAGATAAAGTCATAAATTAATTTAGAAGCGATGATCGCCGTTGAAAGTTGTGCAGTTATTTACTCTAATAAAACGGTAACGATGCTGTAAAACACGTTTCGCTCATGACGGTATTGTTGAAGAGACATAACAATTGCCGTCATTAGTGTGGCAATCAAGAAACAAAACCATTATAAATGGTACATACGTACAGACACACACACACACACACACACGTATAGAACTACACGCATGTATTGTACGATTCATTTGCTGCATAACGAATATAAAAAACGCATTGTTTATTACGATTTTTCGTCTTAGTCAACTGTAACTGCTTGTGGGTACGCAAAAATTGCAGCAGCGTTTTTTGTTATATTATTGCGCAAACTCGAAAAGAGGCAATGCACCAGCGGTTAAAAAGCTCTCTATAATCATAGTTGAGTAATTTTTGTGTTGTAACTAAGCTGCTTTTACAAAAATCATCTATGTTGGTTTAAAACCATCGGGATATGCCTGATACTCTACACAATAGTAAAATCTGCATCAACACCCAAGCAGCATTTTTAAAGTTTTATATAAATAAACAGGCAAACAGATGTCTTTCGGCTATTGGTAACCTCGTGGAACTTTATTAAATGATTGTTAATCAAACTTCTAAAAAGATTTAGTTGAATGTTTTGTGTTTTAAAATTGTATTTAGAATTAAAATTGTCATAAAAAGGGTTTCATTACAGACCATATGCTACTGTAATGTTATAATAAAACGATTGCGTGTGAAGTGGCCAGGAAATTTGAGATAATACTACACAAAACGGTTTCTTTCGTCGAATCTACTGGCAATTATTGTAAAATGATACTGGTGATGCATGAAGCAGGGAATTCAAATGAATTTTTATATGTCTACTTAGACATCGAGTAAAACTCACTCATATTCAGCATATTGCTTATGTAAGTGTGTGTTCATTTTAATCCCTAAAAAAAATTAAAATTGGGGTTGCAGCTTTTACACATTCTTATATTTTTAAAACAACAGAGGGCGCTATGGTAGTCAACGAAGGAAAGGAGAAGTGTAATGGAAGAACGCCTTCTAAGACGTATCAGAAGCGCAACCGCATATGGCGACCAGCCGCCATAACTCAACAATAACTTTAACTGAACGAATCGTTTATATGTGTAGGTACCTAGTATAATTAACTAATAAACTAATTAGACTTGTACTTTTAAACATTATTTAACATGTAAAGCGTGCAACTCGTTTTCAAAAACTTAATTAATTTTACTTTCATGGATTTGAAAACCGTGTCCCTTTAAGGATTACCTTCTCCATATCAAATTATTTTACAGGTGCTCTGGCTTAAATATAAATCACCACGATACCTTCTAGACAATTTCAGAATAGCTTTACACCTTCAAGGTCCTCAGAAATCCTTCTAAAACTAAATTTATTTGAGAGCTTAAAATGTACTTTTCAAGATTTGGCTTTGAAAAGGGCAGGTGGTTGGGTTTTGAGTACCTACAAAGCATACCTTAATACACTTTGGATTCTTACTCTCAGCAGGTAGACATTCGTTCGTGAAGGGTCCCATTATAGTCACTTCTGCGTACTCTTTTTAACAGATGTCTCCAAATCAATCCGTAACAGATGTTAGAGGAAGGTATATTATTATTATAAGTGGAAACACCTCCAACGCGAAAATATTTCTTCTTCAGTTCAATAGAACCATGTATTGGAAAGATATTTGTCTTTTACGCAGCTATCTCAAGATTTGATGTTGGTGCTAGTACATAGTTTATCTAATTCCCTAGTATTAATTTTATTATTGTGGAGTAAGTAAATAGCAAATCAATACAACTCATTATTGGAACTTCAATGATGACGTTCGCTGGAGTAAAGGTGAGGCATTCCGGATAGAAAATAGTCCCCCATGTAGATGTCAGGTTGAGGACTACCTCGGAGCAGGACGTCATTGGAAATAATGCAGCAAGTAAGGAAGTTATAAAGTTTAAAAATTGTGAATATTCGTTGGCCAAAAGGAAGAAGTTGACTTTTGAACTGAAGATTCCGAAGACGTGGAGGTGCATGTCGAACCAGATGAAAACCCTATGATGATGAAGTAGCTAATACGAATTTAATAGATCGATCGTCGATACCATTGGCAAGTTGCTACCATTGTAAGAATAAAAAAAGAGTCTAAAAATCTTTTGTCAGAACAACGTACTTATTGAAAGCTACTTATGAATGTGAATTGCTCATTACTGAATCACACAGAACGCGAAAATAACTTTTTATTTTTAGATAAGAATCTCGTTGAGAATAACATCAACTGAATGATTTTGGGATGAATGATTTGTTTTTCGCTTTTGGTTGGCGCTAATGGTAACTCAGTTATTTTTTTTTTTTTACTACATTACCACACACAGTGTTCTAATACGATAGCAAAAGAACTGTTTAAACTTAATTAACTATCAAATTCGTTAAATAAAGACTTCTGAAAAGGTAAAAGAAGTCGTAAAATAATTCCAAACCAGGAAAGTACTAAAGACCTTTAAAGAGATGGAGTAAATTTTTTGTTTTCTATATAAGAACCATTATCTCAAATAATTGGAACACCTGAAATTGTTGATTCAATAAAACCGGAGAAAACGTACAAACTAGGTCATTTCAATTATATTGAACGAATAGTTTATTTTCCAGTAGATATTATTTCATTAGTTTGTTGTCTGTACCTTGGCCGCAACTAGCCCATTTTTGACCAGTCCAAATACAGCAGGAATTATAGCTTCATTGGTCATCTATTAAAGTTGTCTTATAATTTAATTTACAAACAGCGCACTTTCTATAAATGTTTTATGAAATTCAGGATGTCTAAAGGTAATTGTACCAAAAAAAAAAAATAGTTTCCTTTGTTTAAGACCAGATTTTACGTGTCAATGTACTGATATGCCGTAGGCTGCATTAATAAATAGTAATTAAATAAGTGATTGACCACCGCACCGGTCGGTCTAATTGCGTCAGTAATTAAAACTGGTACGTTCGAAGACTTTTAATTAAAATTCCCAACATTCTTCGGACGTATCAAGAGAAACTTTTAACGAAGCATTTTTTAGAGATTCCACAGAAAACCGCGATTTCAATAAAGAACACACATTCATCTACACATCCAATTAAACTTCAAGATCAAACGTCTTGTTATTGCGATGGTCATAAATATCATTATTAAAAGTTTATCAACAACTACAGCGGTCATAAAATTAGACCAAATTTGGCGCTCCGGTGAAAAAAAAACTACTTAATTGTAAGGCGGAACACCTTTAGGTGGGTACCTGTTAAGGCCAGCCAGAAGAGTAACCAGAAAGGTCCAAGAAGTAGCATGATGCTTTTTCCTTCCAAATCTCACTCTCTTCTCTCACGTCAGTTACTTAATGCGTTCACAGTAAAATCGTTCACATCATCGCACGCACATAAAAGTAGTCGAACATCATAATCGACGACTGTCGATTATTAGCAGCAGTCGTCGAAAATCATTTTTTTTTTTTGAAAAAACTTAAATACTAGATGCAAATACACGAACAACTCGTATCTGTGCTAAATAGTGGCAGAATGTAGTAACACCGTACGTACGTACCCGAGCAGTCGAAATAAAACCGACTGCCTGCGACTATCCAGTGTGTGTGTGATGGAGTATTGACCGGGTGAGACGGCACAAGGCAGTCCTGATGCCTTGCGCTGCTTCTGGGGTTCCCCTCTCCGCCCCCGCACCGCCGCATTCGTCCGCGACCGTCCGCCACTATACGTCCGCCACCGGCGGGCGCCTGTCTTCTTCCTCTCGATAGACTGCAACATCCACCGACGAATGTCCTTCTCCTTCTTTTTCTCTTCTTCGGCAAAGTTCCCTTTGAAGACCGTCCTCATCCTCTTCCGCCTCCTTTTACAAAACGCATCCGCGAGCTGATGCTCCCTCCTTTCCGTCCATCGTCCTTACGCTTCCTTATTACCGAAATTTTGATCTAATTTAATTTTTATCACGCTGGGGATGCATATCCCAAAATCATTAAATACCCTCATTATGGCACACATTAACGAAATTGTAGGATATCGTTAATCTTTTAACAGATGCTGACAGTCTAATTCCACAGAAAATTCTGATGCTACAAGATGCCTTTCATGTGCCCATCTTGAAAAAAAGCACTTTTGGATGTTTCATTCCCACTAGAAACCGATGCTGTTTGAAGGGCAGTACTTCCTGACTACGCCCAGGGGTAAGGCGGATGGCCCTCTTGAGCCTTCTTTTAGGAACTGTAGGAACTGGTGGGTGGTGGTGATTGGGGCGAGAAAGACTGGACGAGCGAAATATGAAGACAGCCTAAGTGAGAACGGCAGAAATACTTGGCCCACGATAGACGCACCCGGAATCGAACCGGCGTCCTCCCGAATGCTAGCCAGCGGTCTAAACCTCTAGGCCATACCACTCGGTATACTTATCTGCTAAAAGATCTAACTAATAAGTGTAGTTCCACATCATTTTGGATCGTCACTGCTGCTACATCTTCCATGGAAAACAACTTTTAAACATTTCAGACACAGAATAACTACATCTTCAATAATTTCCTACTAATTGTGACTTCATTAATGTTTACCAAGGACCTTTTACGATTAACTATATGCATCTTTTATTGTTTATTTGCTGTCTGAGACATACGTGCCCATGAAGTAGACTGCTACGCCATGGGCTCAGTTTGACAGGTCGATGTCCTTAATAGTAAAAGGACCTTGTCAAAAGTATTAATGAAATTACGATTAATAGGTAGTAAATTAGTCGGTGTCCTATCTGCAAAGTACTGATTACATCCAATCAGATTGAAATCACAATCCATATCTGATGGTTTCGACAAGAAATTTTGCTTCATTTCAGCTACATGGTCATTTAATTTTTGAAATTATGATGCTTCATTCACAAAGACCTGGATTATTTAAAGCCTTATTGAGTATTGAGTAAGAAATATTCATGTCAAACTTATTCTGCAGCACTTTTTGTACTATTACATATTTACCTGGCGCCTCCGCCGAATGTGCAACATCTTTATTTTGAAAACGCGAGCTTATTTTTAACTGCAATTTGAATCCAAACTTGTTCTAGATTTACATACAACAATATTACAATTAGTAACTCATATAATAGTGTACTTAAACTACATCAAAATTTACGTTGTAGCTTTCCAACTTTAGACAGACTTTTACACATCATTCTAACACTATTATCTATATGGTTTAAATGTATTTATTACTTTTGCTTATTTTGAATAAGCAAGAAGCCTTCTTTTATATTCCATTAATATTTAGATACAATAATAAAATTGATATTTATTAATGTAATGGTTTTGGACAAACAAGCACTTATAGAAGGCATGTGAATATAAAAAAGTGAACTCGTGGGTCATTGAGAACCGAAGGAAGCTAAAACACGTGGGACGAACAGAATGGATTGGTCAAACAGTATAAAACGGAGACAAACATGTCAAGTTTCTGTTTTGCAAACAAACCACTCCAAAGAAAGACATAAAACGTTCGAATTGGAAGTGGTAAAAAAACAGAATGATGACAAAATAAAATGCTGCGGAAATATTAAATGGCCGGTCGATCTAATAATTATGATTTTAATACATAGAATCACTGTCTAAAAATTAGTTGAAGGTGACCTGTTTCGCCGTTTGAGTCTTAAACACTTAATTTTAATAAAGATAATAAATGATACGAAACTGTGTCTACAAATTATTCTCCTGTAGTTCAATTAAAATCCTACCGGAAATCCTTCACAATTTATTGAAGTCTTTTGATCCTACATCAATAACAAATCTTTAAGTAAAATATATCATAATTATTAAAAATCGCACTTTCTACTCGGATCCAAAATAAAAAGTTCGTAGCAATGAAAAGTATCCTGAACTTATCAATATAAATCCCATAGAAATCTTACTGCAAAGCTCACTTTTCAGAAATAATGAAAAAGAAACTTGAAGCCCTGAGATAAAAAACAGCCGAAATTATGGATAGAAAAATCGCCAGTGTTGATGAAATTTCTTGAAAATCCTGCAGGCTTTTCTACAGCTTCCTAATACGTACAAAAGTCTTAATATAAAGATCCCTTAAGACTTTTGGTACTTCATCTTCCCGAACATACGAAATCTGATACAGAAGTCTTACAAATTTTAATGAGAATTTTCAATATTTCCAATTAAAAATGAACTCAAGGATAATCTTATCGTATAACAGGGATCCCCAACAAAGAAAACCAATTTTTTTAAATTATCCTGTTCAATATTGTCCATTAAAGCACATTTCAGCTAGTAAAGAATTCTTGCATTTTATACGTAATATATATGAGATAAAAAAAGCCGGAAATGACTTCGATAATGTTCCTTTTTACCCCTTGCGTGTGGTATTAATGGGTGTGGTGTTGTGCGAGGGTATATTTACCTTCTTCCGTACCATGACTAAGGCATAAATTTGCCCCTGGCTTCCCCTTGGATTACAACATGAATGGAGTTTTTAGACGGTGCATCAGAGGGTGAATAAATAGATAAATAGTAATATGTATACATTGAACAAGTGCATCACGCAGGAACGCACTTTTCATTGACTTTTTTTATGGGGGCTTGGCGACAATGGGGCGACACAGCAGGGGGTGAAATTTGCTTCGATCCGCGAACACAACAACGTAAAATTATTCGAGTACTTCTTCTGATTACTATTATATAGCATTAGATATGCAAAATTTGATAGTAAATACAAGCGGTTTGATGATAGTTCTTCAGCTAAGTAAGTAAGTTAGAAATAAGAAAATGCAAGACAAGACCTGTAACTTCAACTAACATTTTCGTGTCTCATCCCCAGTTGACGTTAGTGGAAAGGTTATTCTCCTCCACTGTGGTTTAAAGTGGTGAGAATCTTACAGTGTTTTTCCACCTTCTTCAGAAAGTATGATTAACGACAGTTATAGAAAGAAAGACGAAACGAACGAGATGATTACAGTAGAACAGAGAAAACCATGGTTAAAGCAGACGCACCCGGATTCGAGCCCGTGTCCTCTCGAATACTAAGCCACGATCTAACCATTGGACTACGCCGCTCCATATTCGAACAGGTACGGATAGCAGCATATAAGTCGATGCTTCGCCTTGTTAAATTGACCCGACTTTACAAGTTTTTCTAACGAAGTACCCACCTACTTAGCTAACTATTACATTTACTAATGCTAGATAAGGATAATACACTAACCTAGATTCAACATTCCTGTCGAGTGATAGTTTACCTTCTCTGCTTTCTTCTGGTTTGTATTCTTGAGGAATAGAAATCATCAGTATTAATGGCAATATTAACTGACTATTACGTTTGATAGACTCACTACATACCAACGATAATAATTTCCTAATAACAATCGGTTATTTATATGTACAAACGGCTTGGCTGATATCTATCAATTGTTATCTATTTTTACGCGAAAGTGGAGTGAAGTAATTATTATGGGATTTGATATTTCCATCAACTAATGGACCTTTTCTGGATAAATTCGACACAAACTGTTGACTTTTTTGTTTAGATAAGTTACCGACACCCTGTATATAATAATACGCATGTTGCTTGATTGCACTATTTAGCCATAAACAGGGCTTCTTTCTGAGTCAAGTAGATATCCGAATGGCCATATTTGATAATTGCCTGTCTTATCAACAACGCTTTCTTTAATTTGCCCCTGCTCCACATTCTCGCTGGATCAGTTTTATTAGTTTACAGGGAAAGTACCGTAGGCATTCGTAATTTCACTGCCGGTTACAATTTAACTGTACATTTTATGTTATTGGTAGCATCTGATCATTCTGAAAGACTGACCAACAACTGGTTTTGTATATAAATGTTTATCCATTCCTTTCGGCATTTTCATTTTGTTTAGTATTCAACTCATCGAGCTCGAGAGTGTGAACAGTTTTGTAATTTTTAGGGTCAGGATTAGTTTTTTTTTTATTTAGAGCTTTTATTTTTATTACTAACTTCTAACGATAAAAATAAAAAGTGAAACTGATATTTAAATTGAAAACAAAAAACAGTAAAAACAGTAAAAAATGTATTTAATAATAACGCGTCTACTACTACGGTGATATTAGACTAAATGTGACCGATTGTTTTTTTTTTTTCGAAAAAGTGAACTCAAAATAAGAATGAAATGCACCATTCTTCCTGGAGGAGTATTATTTCTGTTTTCTATTATTTTTTATTTAATTTTCCAAGGTATGTATATAATTTCATTTAAATATTTGGTTGATTAAGGTAATTTTTAGTTAATTATTCATTAAACAAATAACGGTTAAAATTTTTTTATTATTTTTAATACGATTACTCTCTGGCACTATTTAATACTAAAATTCCAAAGAGAAAGACTGTTTTTGCATTAACTAGAACGTGAAACATTAATTACCCCAACTTTCATGCATAAATGTGTAAGTTCATCAGATACTAAATGCGTAAACACGATGCTTTCCAAATCCACAATATTACCCCATCAGCTTTCAAGCATTCCTGTAGAAATTATGAAAATAAACGGGAATAANTAATTGCTTTAATTACTTAATTTATTTCATTTAGTATTTAAAGCAATTACTTTTTAAACATATAACTTTTTCTCATATTTATTAAGTATTATTTCGGAAATAATTATAATTTTGTGTTATTCTTGACATACTGACTAATTTTTTAAGGTCAATACAAACGGAAAAAACAACAGTTATTATTCATACCAATCTACAATAGTCTGGCATAACACTTTTACTAAGGCTATCTATCACATGAATAGAAATGTGTTGTGGATATTGTCTATTTCATTTCATTATTAATTGTGTATTCTGATGATATTATTTGATTTTTTTGTGGGTACCGTAAGATTTCATGCACTTTTTTTAAGATTTCAGCAAAGTAATCCGGACTGTATCTATTTGACGCCGCACTAGAAAACGGTTTGTACCACGAGATTCTACGCCCTTTTTTACAAAAGATGGAGTAAATTTTTTGTTTTCTATATAAGAACCATTATCTCAAATAATTGGAACACCTGAAATTGTTGATTCAATAAAACCGGAGAAAACGTACAAACTAGGTCATTTCAATTATATTGAACGAATAGTTTATTTTCCAGTAGATATTATTTCATTAGTTTGTTGTCTGTACCTTGGCCGCAACTAGCCCATTTTTGACCAGTCCAAATACAGCAGGAATTATAGCTTCATTGGTCATCTATTAAAGTTGTCTTATAATTTAATTTACAAACAGCGCACTTTCTATAAATGTTTTATGAAATTCAGGATGTCTAAAGGTAATTGTACCAAAAAAAAAAAATAGTTTCCTATGTTTANTACCATGAGATTCTACGTACTTTTTTACATAATAGTCACCACTTAAAGCTTAGTAAATACCTTCCATCTCGTAGCAATTTCACGAGCGCCTTTTTATGTTTAACTTGTTTCATAGTTTTTTCAGCAAACAAATCCGGACGGTATATATTTGACGCCGCACTAGAAAACCGTTTGTACCATGAGATTCTACGCACTTTTTTACATAATAGTCACCACTTAAAGCTTAGTAAATACCTTCCATCTTGTAGCAATTTCACGAGCGCCTTTTTATGTTCAAATTGTTTCATAGTTTTCAGCAAACAAATCCGGACGGTATCTCTTTGACGCCGCACTAGAAAACTGTTTGTACCATGAGATTCTACGTACTTTTTTACATAATAGTCACCACTTAAAGCTTAGTAAATACCTTCCATCTCGTAGCAATTTCACGAGCGCCTTTTTATGTTTCAATTGTTTCATAGTTTTCAGCAAAGAAATCAGGACGGTATCTCTTTGACGCCGCACTAGAAAACTGTTTGTACCATGAGATTCTACGCACTTTTTTACATAATAGTCACCACTTAAAGCTTAGTAAATACCTTCCATCTCGTAGCAATTTCACGAGCGCCTTTTTATGTTTAAATTGNATCCTTAGGGTTACCAAGGAGAGTTTGAATGGAGTTGCCATTTGAACTGTAAGCAATCCGTAAACCAAGTTTTCGAAAAATACCCTCGAGTCCGCGAGTAAATCTTGGCTCGTATGGCATAGTAATAAACTTGGTTTTATTAGCATCTGTTTGAAAAGTCGTAGATCTTGAAATAAAATTCCTAAATTTTATCTTATTAATTAATTTATCAATAATGTTACAATTGTAACCATTGTCTTTTGCAATTTTCTTAATTGTACAGAGTTCCTTATTATATCTATTTTTACTAAGAGGGAAGCTAAGTAATCTGTGTACAAGGAAGTTAAAACTAGCCATTTTGTGTTGAACACAATGATTAGAGTCGTTGGGTATATATCTAGAGGTATTAGTGGGTTTTCTGTAGATGTCGAATTCTAAAGAATTCCCATTTCTTATAACCAACGTATCTAAAAATGGTAATTGGCCATCTTTTTCCATTTCTACAGTAAATTTAACCGAAGGGAAACGTGAATTTAAAACATCAAGAAAATCTTGAAGACTTCTGGAACTTAAATCGAATGTTCTTGTTTTGGCGTTGGGGTTTTGAGCTATTCTGTTTGTTCTACAACAAGTTTTTCCAATCTTCATATTTAGATGATAGTTGATAATATAAGTAAATTTGCAGCATACGTAGCAACAAAAAAGCACAACGTGTTCATGGTGGAATGGCATTCTTTAGGTCGGTTCCCATGTTATCTTTCAGCATTGTACAATATGCGTCTTGTGGCTCAGTGTACTGCTCAATTATATGCTTTTATAATGGAAAATGGAGGGTCGGCATACGAAACGACCTGCATTGGTCATTCGTTGGGGGCACACATTTGCGGAATGATCAGCAATCATCTTACCATCAGACAACATAGAATAATAGGTAGGTAATAGTCACTACTTAAAGTTTAATAAATGCCTTCCATATCCTAACAATTTCACGTGCGCATGTTTATATTTAAATTGTTTTCAGTATTTACATTTATTAGCTACCTTGTATTTATTAAATTGTACCTTCTTAAAATACTTATCTCGAGAATTTTTAAGACTATTGCAGATTGTTAGGTTGTGACAAACTTTTTGTTTTTTTTTTAGAAGTTGTATGCCTGTCATACCCTCAAATGTTTGATTTGCGATACTGGCGATGTGTTATAAAAAAGAAACATTCGTGTCCAAATGCAGAAGTTAAATTTTATTTATTTACTCCGTAAGTACCAATTATTATTTTTTTTGTTATTTAATACTACATATTCTAATAACTAATGATAGGTGGAATCAGAACCTCAATCGGACTATCCCTATCGCCTTTTCGACCCTGTCAATGTCCACTGTTTCGAATTTGTATTGATTGAAAGGTGGGAGGGGTACCTAACACCCTTTAGCTTCTCCCGTCTTTAATAGACTATAAGAGGGAGGTATCTTTTTAGATAGCTCTTGATTTTTTCTACCCCTTTCTCCTATCACACGCTTTTTTTTTAAACACCTTGTACATTGATTTCCAATAAATCGATCTATTACAGCGACGACCCAGATCAAAGACAGAGAATTGATGTCAACAATCCTAAGGCGTTGCAATTCAGTGGGTTCAATCCACATCTTTCCAATGTCATTGTCGTTCATGGTTTTAACGGATCTTATTTCTCACCACCGATGAAGAAAATCAAAAAGGGTTAGTATATTGTAAAGTCTTATAGTGATTTATTAATGTCTAAATCTTCTACTATTTTCTACTGTTCAAGTATTTTCGAAGAGGAACTTTAAACAGATACATTACGAATTTACAAAACAAAAGGCCGTAGCCGGGTTGATATGGTTGTTCAAATCTCCCACTCCCATCCCTACCCCACAAACAAAATCCTGTTTACGGCCCGGCCGTAAAAGTACAAATAATAAGTGCCAGCTAGCAACCCCTATTAACTCCTGACGATCTGCTATCTACATAAAAATTAGATAGGGGTTTGACATATCAGCTCTAATGTCTAGTTGCATCTTTTGGCCTAACACCCTGTGTATAATACGGCATTAAAGTTCTTCAAACATTTAAATATTTACTGGTAGATGATAGTTGAACAAACAGAATANATTTAAATTTAAAACTATTTAAACTACACCATCACCAATCGTTGAATATGAATAGTATATGGTTCTTTAAGTATTATCAGCAATAACGACGGACATATATAATTAATTAGTTTTCTAACACGTGCTAAACACCGGCTTACCGAAGCTGTCGAACGACTGTCTGTCTGTCCAAATGAATCATGTTTAACACTTTTGCCACATTAATAGTAGCAATCACCCAAGCATTTATTACTATAATAAATGGCTATAGTTTGTTCATAATTATAAGTTCACGTAGCTATAGTCAATGTTTTCTTTCAGTACGTTTTCACAATTTAATAATTAGAAATAAAACAAGATGATAATTGTTTTTAAATTTAACTTAGTTGAATTTTGATTGATTTTAAATTGATTTTATCACTTGAAACACTTAGTTTAAGAAGTATAATTACATTTCAAGAAAAAGCATATATTCGAAAAAATATTTTATCTTTTATTCTTCATCGTAAACAGTTACATAATACAATATTATCTGAGATAGAACAACACTTTTTTAAACTCAACATTTATAAAAATAAGTCTCCATTTCAATTTAATGCTAAGGCACTGAATAAGAACGTGATAAAAACAATTACTTACGATGGCACTGTCACGTCTTTATCGATAACGTCTCGTAAAACATGTTTTAATTTTATAAACCGCCTCTTGAACTCCAAACCACAGCCTTTTGAAAGACGGAAGTCCAACAATAATTTTGAGTCCATTTCTATTAGATTGATTTTAAATACTAAAGGCATTCTACGTGTATCAACAGTCGATATTGTAATCTAAAAACAATAAAAAGAAATATGAGGCACTTTAGGCAATTTACGAAGTTCGTAAAGTATACACTCGATAGTATAAACATTGTGTAAATAAAACTCCGCATGACGTGAACAACATATTAATTATGCTAGGCCACCGTACAGCGTGAACAAACAAAACCTTCGCTTATAGAAACAAGCATCCATTGGCCTTAAAAATTGATTTTTCCTCACTGCTGTAAACCCCCATATGTTTGGTACTTTCCCAGAGATATAATTGTTTCAAAAGTATGAGAAATCGTTTGTAAGTAAAGAGTTTAATTATAATCAGAGTTTTACGTACTTAGATAAAGAAATAAATGAAAATGATACATAATTTAAGGAAAGTGAGGAATAGCTGCAATGTCTTTTAAAACTACTTGGAATTTGTTTTTTAAATGTTTCTGGGGAAAAATATGTCTCGTCAATCCAAAATATCTCTTCACTTTATTTTCATGGACTTTTATTTTACTAATTATCTATCAAAAATTGATAATATGAACAGCTATCCATTTTTTCTGACCACAGCGTTGAGTATCTACTCTATAAGGTACTTTAAGGAATTCATAGATTTCTTACAGATTTAATTATTTTCCAATTGTAAATTTATCATATATATTTGAAACTTACAACTCCGGATTCATCCAAGTTCCAAGTGTAGTGAAATTGATCCAGTGCAGCCCCCAAAATCTCCAATACTTTTTCCCAGTCTTGTTTGACGAAGAAGCGAGTCATTCTCTTAACCATACACTGGAACGTATTCTACAAAAAAAAAACGTAATAAATAATTAATTTATTTTAATATAGCAACAAAAAAAATTTACCAAATTAATAGTCTGCGTTTGGGTCAAAGGTAGTTGAGAGTTGATCATGAGATCGTCGTTGTGTGTAGGTTGAGAATAACACAAATTTGAGCCACTCTTGTCTCTCAATAAATTAATCACGTCTTTCATATCAATAGATGGTAAACACGGGGTTGGTTGAGAGTAAGATAAATTGGGGCCATCAAACGTATCATCGTATATCAGTCTCTTTGATAAAGGCTCCTTGTATAAACTTTGGTCATCTGTAATATAAATTGATAAAATTAATTTAATGATAAAAGGTAAACAGCCACAATACTGTAAAATTGTTTGGCAATGATAAAAAGCAAGGAAAAAGCACGTTCCAATTTGACTTTAATATTTCAGGACTAGATCCAGCCAGACCTCTTATAGATCGATTTGCCAGGAAGGAATTCAGATTAACTCCAGACGACGCCGATCAAGTACAAGTGATACACACGAACGCCGGGTTCCTTGGAGAAATCAATCAAGTGGGTACCGTGGATTTTTGCGTCAATGGAGGTGCCATTCAACCCGGATGCCATGGGCATATGATTCGTAAATGCTTTTTTTTTTTTTGACGCCGCACTAGAAAACCGTTTGTACCATGAGATTCTACGCACTTTTTTACATAATAGTCACTACTTAAAGCTTAGTAAATACCTTCCATCTCGTAGCAATTTCACGAGCGCCTTTTTATGTTTAAATTGATTCATAGTTTTCACCAAAGTAATCCGGACTGTATCTATTTGACGCCGCACTAGAAAACGGTTTGTACTATGAGATTCTACGCACTTTTTTACGTAAGACAGTTATAGAAAGAAAGACGAAACGAACGAGATGATTACAGTAGAACAGAGAAAACCATGGTTAAAGCAGACGCACCCGGATTCGAGCCCGTGTCCTCTCGAATACTAAGCCACGATCTAACCATTGGACTACGCCGCTCCATATTCGAACAGGTACGGATAGCAGCATATAAGTCGATGCTTCGCCTTGTTAAATTGACCCGACTTTACAAGTTTTTCTAACGAAGTACCCACCTACTTAGCTAACTATTACATTTACTAATGCTAGATAAGGATAATACACTAACCTAGATTCAACATTCCTGTCGAGTGATAGTTTACCTTCTCTGCTTTCTTCTGGTTTGTATTCTTGAGGAATAGAAATCATCAGTATTAATGGCAATATTAACTGACTATTACGTTTGATAGACTCACTACATACCAACGATAATAATTTCCTAATAACAATCGGTTATTTATATGTACAAANGTGGATTTTTGCGTCAATGGAGGTGCCATTCAACCCGGATGCCATGGGCATATGATTCGTAAATGCTTTTTTTTTTGTTTGCTATAGTTTTAGAATGTTCCCTTCAATACACAGTCATTCAAGCATTACTTCTCCCTTCCCCCTTCTTCTCTTCCTCCCGCCCTTATCTTATTGTAAAATATTTTTAGGAATTTCTCGATGTAGTCATTTCCAAAGTGTTTGCTATTTGGTCCAAACAGTGACTAATGCATCTACATTTGTTGGTCAACCCTGTTCGTCAAAATGTCCCCGAAATAACGTATTCCCCATAAGAAATGGCAAACCGATACCCATGGGGGAGCATACCCCAAAAGAGTAAGAAACAAATCTGTTGATAATTTTTTACGTCTACTTACTGACTTTTTCTTCTTTTTTTTAGAGCCAGGGGGATGCATTGTGTGAAAATAGAACACGATAATGATTGTCCTTTTAATTAATTATTATCGCATAGTTATTACATATTACATTTAATTGTTATTTAATTGTAATGAGATGTTTGAATGTGCTCATTAATAATCTCTTCCTGCAATATTCATTGGTTCAGGAGATGAAAGGATTTGACCGAAATTTAAAAAAGAATTTATTTTGGAGTCACCCTGATGTATTTTTAGTAACTAGTCTATAAATATTTCTCAGGATTGATCTTTGGAAATTGCAAATTGTAGAAATTTATATTTTATTATTATATCTAAGAACGTACGTGTATGTTACCTCGGTCGAGAAAAATGAACATTCTTTGAAACTAAACCATCTGGGCATTTGATTTATAGCTTCTTACCATCAAAAAATGATTTATTATCTGAAGAGTCTTCTACGGCATTCTAGCCACTTTTATATAAATGATTTTTCTTGCACAACCGGGGAGATACTGTTTTAGAAAATTGAACAATATATTTTACTGGAGATGAATTTTTTTAGCGTTAGTTATCAAGTGAGTCAATATATCTTGTAATTTATGATCCAGTAGACAGATATCGTTTATAATGACATCTGGTATAACGACATATCGCCTATTGCAACGAAATTCTAAAGTTTGTGACCGAAATAATACTTTTTAAGGGTATGCGATAGGCAGCTGTAGTTTATAATAGCATTGGATATTGTGAAGTTTGGCTGTAATTATGAGATGTATGGGGTGTAATATTTTGGGGTTTGTTTGGGAACAGTATTGCGTTTAATGTAAGACTCATTTTCGTGTAAAAAATGGTTTTGTTGTTTTCTTTGTAGTTCTTATATTCACTGTATGTCTGGTTGTCTATATTACATTTCAAATTGTAGTTTAATTGTTTGTTAAAAGAAAAATATAAATTGGCATCCCCAACTGCATCCACATGAAAAACATATAATTTAAAGACGAAAATTCATCAATCTACTTCAATGAAACCAGAATTACAGCCCAATTATTGATTTTATTTAAAAGTGTCCGGCGCCTCCACCAAATTTTTCAATCTAATTTTTTAATAATTATTAGTAATACTTACATAGTATCATGAAAATCTTATTATCACCATTAAATCGATTGTGTACTATAAAAATTAACTAAGAACTAGTAATTAGTAACTAAATACTTTTTTAACAGCCCTAAATAAAAATGTGTAAGTGCATTCAACCTAAAGATGTCTTTGAGGATATAATTATATAATGTAATTAATTATTTCTAGGCAATATTTGGTATTTAGTTCAAGGATGGTATTGTTTCATGAAAGAAAGTAATTTTCGTAAGAAAAAAATGTCTTCTAACTCCTTTAGTTGTTACATCATTAGGGTTATAATATTTGCTGTATGTTGGGTTGCCTGTATATTATATTGCAAACTATATTATAACTTATTGTAAAAAGATATAATTTNAAATGATACATAATTTAAGGAAAGTGAGGAATAGCTGCAATGTCTTTTAAAACTACTTGGAATTTGTTTTTTAAATGTTTCTGGGGAAAAATATGTCTCGTCAATCCAAAATATCTCTTCACTTTATTTTCATGGACTTTTATTTTACTAATTATCTATCAAAAATTGATAATATGAACAGCTATCCATTTTTTCTGACCACAGCGTTGAGTATCTACTCTATAAGGTACTTTAAGGAATTCATAGATTTCTTACAGATTTAATTATTTTCCAATTGTAAATTTATCATATATATTTGAAACTTACAACTCCGGATTCATCCAAGTTCCAAGTGTAGTGAAATTGATCCAGTGCAGCCCCCAAAATCTCCAATACTTTTTCCCAGTCTTGTTTGACGAAGAAGCGAGTCATTCTCTTAACCATACACTGGAACGTATTCTACAAAAAAAAAACGTAATAAATAATTAATTTATTTTAATATAGCAACAAAAAAAATTTACCAAATTAATAGTCTGCGTTTGGGTCAAAGGTAGTTGAGAGTTGATCATGAGATCGTCGTTGTGTGTAGGTTGAGAATAACACAAATTTGAGCCACTCTTGTCTCTCAATAAATTAATCACGTCTTTCATATCAATAGATGGTAAACACGGGGTTGGTTGAGAGTAAGATAAATTGGGGCCATCAAACGTATCATCGTATATCAGTCTCTTTGATAAAGGCTCCTTGTATAAACTTTGGTCATCTGTAATATAAATTGATAAAATTAATTTAATGATAAAAGGTAAACAGCAAATAGACAAAATAATAATAAAGAACACTTATTAAAACAACAAATATTAACAACCAAAACCTGATTACACACAATTCAATCGAAACAGGAGCTACTTACCACAGATTGAAGGGAAGATTTTACTGACATTTATGCTTTGGTAATCTAGCTTTATGATTCCATTATGAAAACACCATAACGCTAAATTTCCAAAGAACAAACATAAGCAACAATAAAAGTTCATTTTCTGTTATTGGCCAAAAAACAAACAACTTCTTGTAATTTATAGGTAACTTAATAAAAAAATACCTTTATAGTTGAATGTTGAATTTATCCACGAATGCTCTAAAATTTGAGGAATGCTTATCCGCTTCTTTGGGTTTGGTAAAAGAATCTTTTTCACTAAATTCAGTGCTGAATACTGCAATTTTGTCCATGGTGAAGTAAGCATATAATTACCAGTTATCCACTTTCTATAATAAGAACATTCAGTGGAAGCTTGATTAAACGGTGCTTCTAGAAATTGATGTAACTTATGACTTAAAAATAGCAACATTTTAAAAAAGTTATTTACCTCCACACAACATACATATTAACACAACTCCACAGGACCAAGTGTCAGCAGGTTCAGCATGATAAGACTCTCCACTGATTACTTCAGGAGCTACATAAGGCAACGTACCACATCTAAAATTAATAAATACATGTAATAGCAGTCATTTTTATAATAACCTTTTACTTCTTATCTAGCAGTCTTTCTCTTCCCTTCAGTCTGAACATGGTGGCTAGGCCAAAATCACAAATCTTCAATACATCATTTTCATCTATGAGTAAATTTTCAGGTTTAATATCTCGATGAGCTATGCCCTTTTGGTGTAAATACTGGACACCATTCAAGAGCTGTTTCATATAATATTGGGCCTGACCAGCAGGCATCCCCACATCAGGTTCTACAACATTAAGCATCTCAGTGACTACAAAATGTACAATTTACTAACAGTATTACGTGCCTATTCTATCAAACAATTCTCCTCCTATAGCATATTCTAAAAACATCATTAAAACGTCATCTTCCTGTCTAGAACCATAAAGTTTCAGAACATTTTCATGGCTCAGAGTTTTCTGGATACAAATCTCTTTCTTTACCATCATATGAGCATCATTGTGTTTTCTTAAATTTATCATTTTAACAGCAACTTTAGCATTTGTGTTTACATTTATCAGGAGCTTTACCCTATGAAGAAGATTAAATAATACAACAGTAAAACAATTTTCTTACTGAATCACGTACTCTCCAAAGGCTCCTTCTCCTAGCACTCCACCAAACTTCCAATCTTCAACAAACATCTTCATGGTCATTTTGAATTATAACTTTGGCGAATATCAATGAACAATAAAACACTTATTCTAACATATTATAATAAATGCTGTTTTTTCTTCTAAATTGTGCTTGCTGTAATTATATCGATTGAATTTTAAAACGTGCACATCAAACAAGTATAACGTACCATCACTTACATAAATTCCTTAACATTCTTCTTAGAAACTAATACAATTTTAGCTTAACCATCAATAAAACAATTTTGTAATTGATTAATTAATAAAAACTATTCAAACTTAAATTAATATTAACGGAAATTAAATAACAAAATAAAACTGACATTATTGACCACTACTACAGCGATTAATATCCCGCGTAATTGTCACCAACCTAAAATAGTAATTGAAACTAAAATTTAAAAATGGTTGTTAGATCAGAAAATAAATTAAAATATAACAGCAAAAACGATAAAATAATAAAACGAATAGCTTTTCAAGTAATAAATAAATGTTATAATATTGTAATTATTTTTAATAAAACTGCCTTCTAATTAAAAAATGAAAATAAAAGCAGGAAAAAAAGAAAAGGTTTGCAAACCTGAAAACTACTAAAATTGTGTATAGAATTAAACCATTGGATCCATAGATAGAATCAACTTTATGGAACATAACCTAAGATAGATAACCTATTAGTTTGAAAATTCTGATAAACAAGTTAAATAAACGCTTTGCACAACTTATTAATAAAATAAATTAAATACATTTCTTTTAATAATCTGTGTGGTGTTGTAATTAAGAAGAAGTTAAAATGGATTTTTTGGAATATTCAGAAATTTCTTCAGAAATAAAGGGGTCCCTGGTAAGACAATTTACTGCCATGTATCTTGCTAATAATAGTATTTAATATTGGGAAATTTTAGACTCCAGGCAAATTAAAAATGACCGACCAAACAATTATATTCAAAAACAGCAAGACAGGAAAAGTGGAACAAATTCAGAGCAATGATATTGATATGGTTAACTTTCAAAACTTTGTTAGCTCCTGGGGTATCAGATTGTTCCTTAAAAACGGTACCTTGCACAGGTTTGTTGGTTTCAAGGAATCTGATAAAGAAAAGATTGCCAAATTCTTTTCCACTCATTACAAAAAAGATATGTTAGAAAAGGAATTGTGTGTCAAAGGATGGAATTGGGGTACTGCCAAGTTCAGTGGTTCAGTTGTAAGCTTTGATATTGGAGAGAAGAGTGCATTTGAAATACCTTTAACACATGTTTCACAATGTATTACTGGTAAAAACGAAATTACTATGGAATTTCATCAAGTAAGTTGAGTATAGTAAATTATAAAGTAATTTTTATATATTTTGAACTTTTTTGTTATAGAATGATGAAGCACCTGTAAGTTTGATGGAAATGCGGCTATTTATACCCTCCAGTGAATTAGCAGGTGATGTGGATCCTGTTGAAGCATTCCAGAAGCAAGTTATGAAGAAGGCCAGTGTTATTAGTGTAACAGGGGATGCCATTGCTATTTTCAGAGAGATACAGTGCCTTACACCTCGGTATGTCTTATAGATTAATTTTTTTATTGATTATTATTCATATTATGCATTTATTTCAGTGGTCGTTATGATATTAAAATTTTCCAAACATTTTTCCAATTGCATGGTAAAACATTCGATTATAAAATACCAATGTCGACAGTATTACGTTTGTTCCTTCTGCCACACAAAGATAATCGTCAAATGTTCTTTGTAATAAGTTTGGATCCACCAATTAAGCAGGGGCAGACTCGTTATCATTTCCTTGTGCTGCTTTTTAATCAAGACGAAGAAATGTCGATTGAATTGCCATTTACAGAGTAAGTAATATACTTTTAAAAAAACGTGATTAAATCTTGTATTTTCTAAATAGGGAGGAATTGAAGGAGAAATATGAAGGAAAACTGGAAAAAGAAATTTCTGGGCCTACGTATGAAGTACTAGGCAAAGTAATGAAGACAATTTTAAATAGGAAATTAACTGGCCCTGGAAACTATGTTGGGTAAAATAATAATACACAATTCCATGAATGAAAGTTGATAAATGTATCTATACAATTAAAATCTTTTTTAGTCATGATAGCAGTCCAGCAATTAGTTGTTCATTTAAAGCAGCTGCAGGATACTTATATCCCTTGGAGCGTGGCTTTATTTACGTTCACAAGCCCCCAATACATATTCGTTTTGAAGAAGTTGCCTCAGTCAACTTTGCCAGAGGTGGGGGAAGTACCAGATCGTTCGATTTCGAAATCGAATTAAAATCAGGAACTGTACACACCTTTAGTAGTATTGAAAAAGAAGAATATGCAAAACTTTTTGACTTTATTACTGCCAAAAAGATAAACATCAAAAACAAAGGCAAAAGTGTAAGCAGTCTCTTATTATTATTATTACGGGAGTATTAAGGTTTAATTTATATATTCACTGTAGGATAAAACAACTTATATGGATGACTTTGGGGATTCAGACAACGAAACTGCTCCAGATGCTTATTTAGAAAGGGTTAAAGCGGAAGCACAAGAAAGGGACGAAGAAGAGGACAATTCAGAGGAAAGTACAGATGAAGATTTCGATCCAGATAAGATAAAGAAACCAGATTCTGGAAGCAACACAAGTTCCTCAGACATCTCTGATGAAGATATTTCAGAAGCAGGTAAATTAGATTATATTTTAATAATACATTTGATTAATCTATTCTTATGTATTGACCAACAGAAAATGATTTAAAGAAGAAAGAGAAAAAACCAAAGCCTGAAAAGAAAGAAAAGGAAAAAGAAAAGAAGAAACCTTCAGAGCCTCGCAAGAAGAAAACGAAGAAAGACAGAGACGAAAACAAACCAAAAAGACCCACAACAGCATTCATGATCTGGTTGAATGAAATGAGAGAGAAGATCAAGGAAGACAATCCAGGAATAAAGGTCACCGAAATAGCTAAAAAAGGTGGTGAAATGTGGAAAGAAATAAAGAACAAATCTGAATGGGAAAAGAAGGCAGCAAAGGCTAAGGAAGAATATGAACAAGCCATGAAAGAGTACAATGCAAAAGGTGGCAGTAGTGCCGGTGGTGATAAGAAAGATAGCAAAAAAGAAACAGCAACAAAATCAAAGAAGAAAGCAACAAATCCTACTCCACCTAAAAGCACTGGGCCCTATAAAAGTAAAGAATATGTTAGTGATGTGGATAGCACCAGTTCAGAAGATGAAAAGAAGAAAAAACCAGCTCCAAAATCAAAATCTAGTGCCGCTGCTGACTCAAAGAAAAAAAGAAATAATTCGGACGATAGTGCAGAAGAAAATAAAAAGAAAAAGAAGAAGGAGACCAAAAAAGGATCAGATGATGACGACGAAGAAGTCGAAAGTACACCACCATCCAGTGAAACCTCTGATAGTGAATAATTTTTATCACACAATTTTAAGTCGTATTATAACTTTTGCATTTTATAAACAGTAAAGTAGTTGATAATAAAAAATTAATAACTCTTATAGTTTCGCTATTTCATACATTTTAGACTATAAATCAAAAGTTACGTGGTTTTAGAAAATGTAGCATCGTACTACAGATGGCGTTTACGGAGCTGCCTGCGACGCGCTGATGAGATCCAAAAAGATCGAAATCGCGATCCGCGTCTGGCAATTTCGACGGAATACAGACCACTTCGAATTATTTTATTAAAAATTACGTGCTTTAAAATTGATAACAGCTATGGCGACATACAAGCACCTTTATCTTTTCATTATTTTGGTACAAACAAAACAAAAAAAAATGCATAAAATCCACATCTTATATTTCTTTTGGTGACTTTTACATAGAATATAAAACAGAAAGTTAAGTAATATGCATTTGGATCACATTTAACACTTGTTTTTATAATCGCATATTAGTTACGTTTTCTATTTCTCTTTTAATTCCAACATATTACTGGAATGCATTGTTTTATTAATTATCCGACTTGTAGTGCATTACCTTAAAATCGTACAATTTCCTATTTAACAATTAACGCATTAATACAAATGTAATTAATTACAAAGGGCAAGTGATGATCAAGATTATAAATTACACAAAATTTGCGCAACAACAACAACCATACGAAAGAACAGAAAATAAACAAAAAAAAATACTTAAGGAATTAAAAATGGCGTTTTATTTTAATAATTTTTCACGCTCGTTGTCGCCCTCCACATTGCTCCTGAACCAACTCTGATGTTTTGAACTACCTTTACCCTTTTTTTTACATAGCTTTTTTAAAAAAGGCACTCATGTATAAGAAAGAATTAAATATAGAGCAAGCTAAGAGCAAAAAAAATCACACCATAATCACTCCTTTAGATTGCATTTACTTAAAACACGGTCTTACTGCCCTGGCGACACAGTCCACCCCCCAATTTCTGACGGCAACACTGCTAACCCCTTCCCCCCTTCTTACCCTCAAACAATTTTAACTGCAGCAGGAAGCGGGATTTGGGTCTTTCCCGGATCTTTTTGTAACGTTTATTCTCGTGAATTCTTCAGCAATCGTAGGATGGATACCAACAGTATTCATTAGGGTTTCTACGGTCAAATTGGACCTGAAAACATCAAAATTTAGAAAAACCCTTCCCAATCCCTTATTTTCTAAACATACCGAGAGGCGTTTTCCTCCATATACAGGGATGATCTGGACAAAGGATGAAGGTAAGAAGGATATAATTTAGCAGGAAAAGAGTTGGGACTTGAAAGAAAATGTTTTACTTACTTCAAGGCGGCTGCAAATCCTTGGATAACTTCTCCAGCTTGGGGTCCAATAAAGTGCATGCCCAAGACCTTCTGCGGAGGCTCCCGTAAAGACACCACCTTTAAATAACAGTGCGCTATCGACTTTTGTGGAATAAAGAACTCTGTTGGCTTGTAATAAGCATGATACACTTCAATATTGTCAGCACCATAGTCTTCATTGGCCTTTTCTTCACTAAGACCTTAAATAATAACATATTAATTTTTATTGCCTCCCTGATAAATTGGTAGATACAAAAAGTTCTGATTACAAATTCAAAAATTAGAAAAACATTCATGGAACTTCAATTAAACAAATATTCAACAAAACAGTTCAGAACTTTTTGTATCTAATAACGTACTGATACTGTATGTTGGGTTGCCTGTCACATGTATACACATACCTGTCTCATGTATGCAGGCAACCCAACATACAGTGTCAGCATTAATTAACAACAAAATTTTTCTGTTGTAAATATTTACACTTACCTACACATCCATACTCTAAGGGCGTAAAAATGGTTGTGGCAACGTTCTGATAATCCATCTGCAGTGTACTTCCCCCAAACAACCTCCTGGCTAGCAATCTACCAGCATGAATGGCTACAGGTGTGAGTTCAGGCTTTTTCTATAACAAAACATTCATTTAAACCCCTGGCTTTATGAATATATATATAAAGTATTACATATAAAACGTCTCCAACGGCGTAAATGTGGGGTACATTTGACTGTTCGTTAACAGCGTCGATTTTTTCGTTGTCTGGGGCCAATTTGATGCCTGCAACTTCTGCTTTGAGTTCCCGCGTTAATGCACGTCTTCCAATTGCAAAGAGGATTGTGTCGTAGACGTCAGAGAACTGCTCACCCTGTTGGTTATGCCATTTCACCAGGAGTCGATCTTCTGGCGTTTTCTCCACAGAATCTGGCAAACACCTGAAAAAAAAAAAAACAAGTTGAAGTTGACAACAATAACAGTTACAATAAGGAAGTGGAAATTGATCAATAGCTTTATCTTATCTAATATGTAATTGTGATCTATTATCAGAAAAAAGGGACTTATTACTAAAAATTGAGCATAAAGTTAACATAACAGGAAAGAATTACTTGTGAAGAAATTTAATTCCTTTTTGAACCATAGACTCGGTAATAATTCCGGCCATTTGCTGGTCAAAGCCCCTGAGAACTACAGATCGAACCATCACAGTTGCATCATACCCTAATCCATTTAAAAACCCTGCACACTCAAGACCAATATCTTTATAATCATTAAGGAAAAACATGACCAACAGATTTTAACATAGTAATTGTGAATCTTAAAAAAAAAATGTACATGTTAATGGAAAGGATACATCCAGCACCAATGATTATGGTTTTTCCTGGGGCATTCTTTAAACTAAAAATATCATCACTAGTTATGCCATATTCGACTGCACCGGGTATGTCAGGGTAACGTGGCCTTCCTCCACAGGCAATAAGGAAATATTTAGATGTGAGGAGGCGTTCACCCTGTTTTGTTGTTGTCTGAATGGTGTAACGATCCTTGAAAACACCTAAACCGTTAATATATTCTACTTTCCTGTTAAAAAAAATTAAAAAAATGTTAGAACCTTCAATATTAGATTGCTTTTTTACAATTAAAACTTACTTATCACGTAAATCGACCCTGGTAACCCAATTGACTGATTTTATATGATTTTGTACAGCCTGTGTTAAAGCAGACCATTGGTGTTTGATGTTTTCTGGTTGCAACTGCCAACCATAAGCTTGAGCATCCTTAAAATATTTCAATTATAATTATAATAACAAATTGAGATTTTTAGCACATTAATAATGCCTTAAAAGTAATGTTAACTTGAAACATATTTCATTTGAAAGTAATGAAATAGGAATCAATGGAATAGAAAAATATAACATGAACATTTACAATTACAACAAAATTGTTTCATCAGTATTTAAAGACAAGTATTGTACCATAAATTTCTGATGTATCTCCTTATCATCTAAATGAAATAGATAACACTACTAATTAATAGATAAAGTATTTCATATGCCACTAAAAAAGCACTTACAGACAACAAAAAAGTAATTAATGCTAGCTTAATAAAACATATTCTAATCATAGTTATTTACTTTAACAAATAATTTAAATAAACAAACACTAAATTTCAGTCCCTTACATATATGTTTTGCAATGCAATTAATATACGTACTATTAAAGTCAAGCACACATTATTTAGTTACTTACATGTAATGATTCTCCTAATAATGCAGCTTGATGCATTAATTTTTTGGGGATACACCCGACATTCACACAAGTTCCACCAAGTCCCCATTTAGTTCCCAATGGTGTTGGTGTTACATAATCTAATACTGCAACCTTAGCACCTAAGTTTGAGGCTTCCTTTGCACATGCCAAGCCTCCAGATCCTCCTCCAATAACGACAAGATCATATTCAGGTTTTGGAGCCTCACCTGTGACAAATTCAAAAAAACTTCCTGTTAATTCATACACAACGCTGGACCTTTCTTTTCTTGTTAGTTGTTAGAATAAAAAGTGGTAAAAACTGGTTAAAAATTAGTTAGCCATTTCGTCAAGCAGTACTGTACTAACAGGTTTGAGTGATGAAACGTATATTCACCTATTGTTTGGGCACTAAACATCCTAATAAACACTTTCTTTTCGGTTCGAAAAATAGTGAATTTACGAATCGAAAGCACCACACTGTCGTTAACAAATCCTCGAGAAAAAAACAGCCTTGTTGACGCCATTTACGTTGACCTTGTTTTTCTTTTTTAACGAAATCAAATCATAACCCTATTTATACTTTATATTATTCCGTTATCGTTCACAATTGGTTCGTTGTTCGTTTTAAAAAGTTATCCTTATTAGAATAATGATTAAATCAATTTTAATTACCGGCTGTAATCGGGGACTGGGACTCGGTTTAGTGAAACATTTGTTGAGCATTCCAAATCCACCTGACAAGCTAATAGCGACTTGCAGAAATTTAGAAAAAGCCAAGGTAAGAGACGAAACCGACCATCTGACGTGTGTATTACGTTAATGCTTAAACGAAATTAATAAGTTTATTTTTACTTACCCACCGGAGCCATTTTTGAAATGATGTGGAATTGTTTAAGGTGCCACGAGCGTAAAATTAATGATTAAAATTGAACTGGCCTTTCTCTTTAAAAATTTTTTAAAAGTTGGCAATTATTTGTACGAACCCTGCAGCACACACTACACACACGCGCGAACTGACGACTTTTTAAACAAATGCGGCAAATTTAAAACAACTTAAATTTTCTGGGATGTATGACATGCCATCTATACCGGTTATTGCGAAATATCTAGTAATAGTATGGCAAATTTAAAAATAGTAGTTTCGTAAATATTCTTTTTTGTATTAATATTAACAACTGAGAAGTTTAATGCGTGTTCATCTTATTATACGCAGCAAAAATAGAGTTTTTTAATCAGACATGTCGATTAGTTGATAACAAAAATGTGATTTTTTTTATTTTACGTAGACATTAACAGTATTT